GAGCCACTCGGCCGGCCCGCAACAGTATCTCCTGTCCCTCGTTTTCTACTGGGCTGATTCCCCCTTTCCCCATAATCTTTTGCCTCCTCAGATACCCAGGTTTCCATTTAATGTCTGTTTTCAGATCCCCAGACACATTTGAGGTTGTACCTCCAGGTGCCCTGAGCTATGTCTAGCATTGCACATGTGATTGTTTTTTCAGATCTGAAGATATTATAGCTAAGTTCTGAGGGACATCACAAGGTCATAAAAAAAAACCACTTCTGTTTGAAATGGTTTTTCTATGAAGAAACATTTGAACAGCAGCAGCTGATAGTTAACGATTCTTTCTCCTCAATTCCAGCGTCTCGGCCCGTCCTCACCCTCAGGGCTCCCAGGGCCAAGGCTCTGGTGGGTGACATGTTGGAGCTCCACTGTGAGGCCCAAACAGGCTCTCCTCCAATTCTGTACCGGTTTTATCATGAGGATGTGACCCTGGGGAGCAGCTCGGCCCCCTCAGGAGGAGGAGTGCCCTTCAGCCTCTCTCTGACTGCAGAACATTCTGGAAACTACTGTGAGGCCAACAATGGGCTGAGGCCCCAGCACTGTGAATTAGTGCCACTCAGTGTCACAGGTGAGTTGACCCTGCCCACCAGTAGAACAATTAAGGAGCTCTAGCACCTTTATCACACTGTGTGACATCCTGCCTACCTCCTGCCTATAGAACCCCCACTGGGATGTCTGGGGTCCTTCCTGTGGTTATGGTTTCAGGAACCAGGAGCTTCCCAGCAGCCCCATTAAACTGCCTTCTTGACTGATCAAAACTCACTGAAAATGCCAAGCACACTCTTTAGAACGTAGACTGTATTCCGATCTGCAGTTATGACATGACAGGGAAACCCAACGATTCCGAGAGGGGGCTTCTCTGCTGCAAGGAAGGGGAGGCCCGTCCCCGTCTGGGTGCTCCTCTCAGCGACTCCCACGGGGCTCCCTGCTCTCGAGCGTCTTTCATTACAAAGGATGTAAGTGTGCCCCACAATTCCACACTGGAAACCCTGTTAACAGGAGCTGTGTGCACAGCCTTTCAGGAGACACAGCCAGTCAAGTTAGTTCACAAAGTGGCCGTGAAAGCAGCGGGGACCCAGGGGGCCAGCACAGGAAAGGTGAGAACAGGAAGACGTGGAGTGGAAATGGCCGCCCAGCAGTCAAGTCCCTCTGTTCGCAAAGCTGCCCTGTGACGTCGTGCCATTAAGTGTGACATCCAGAGGGAAGAAAGTGCTTCTTGTGAGGTCTGGATCTGCTTTGTGATGATGGTCCCCTGTCAGCCGCATGTCCAAGCCCCCATTGAAGGAGACCTGGGGAATAGCATCGTCTGCTAATGGCTGCTGAGATGAAGGTTCGTCTAGTCTGAGCTCTGAAGATAACTGGCCGTATGAACTTGGCCAAGCATATTTCCTTATGTTGACCTCGATTTCCTCACCCAGAACAGGGAAAATCAGACATGATGGAAATAATTGTCATCCCCAGCCTTAGAATTCTTTGATTTTGGTGCACAGGGAATATGTGAGTTATTCAGACTAAAAATATCACAGAAGGAGACATGTCAAAGGAGAAACTGGGACTCTCCAATCTGGGGACACCCCAGAGGAACAGGAGGCCATGAAACGGCACGTTAGCACCTCGGAGGCCTGGGAGGTGAGATAAGGCGGGTACCCTGAGACTCTTCTCATGGCTGGGTCCCTGGTCCCTTAGGAATAGAGACAAAGTCCCGTGAGCAGGCTCCCTTGGGGGCCAGCCTCGGACCCGGGAGCTCATCGAGGTGGCCAGTGCAGCCAGGAGGCAACTGGACTTCAGGTTCGATTGTTGTTATTCCAGCCAGTCCATTTCCTTCCCTACCGGCAGTCAGCCAGTTTCCCTCTGAGATTCACAGCGACTCTTACTTAGCACAGGGCTTACACACTCACGTGTCACAGTCACCGCAGGTGTGTGCCCCCCACTCCCCACAGCACAGCGGGCCCTCACATCCCAACTCCCACTCTCTCTGGTCATCACTTCCTGCTCTCCCCATTCTTCTGTTTCTATGACTCCCCGGGAGGAACACATGTAATTCCTGCTACTGCTGTCACACCTGCAGGCCTTCCTGCCCGGCCTAGGGGGTTGTGTCTGACACACGGGTCGTGTAGAACAGGACCTGCCAGGGGAAGAAACACCTCTCACTATCATCACTTCCAACATCATCCTCACCGACTGAACGCCTGCCCAGGCCAGGCCCTGGGCTTGGGGCTTGACATGCAGCCTCTCCTTTAATCCTCAAACCATCTTTGTCCCCACTTTGCGGGAAGGGAGACCGAGGTGTAGAGAGGCGAAGTAACTAGCGTTCAGACCTGGCGAGCAATGTTTGATGCCAGATTGGAACATGGACCTATCCAGCTCTTAATATCAGTCTTCACCAATTTTGACCACATTTAAACACCATCTTTTGGTTTTACATAATTTGTTATTCTGATCGAATACATAAATCTTCATGATAAAAAAATTGAATGGTATTAATAACTTTCAATATTACTAACTGCTGAAAAACAATAACTATGTTAATTACGCTGACTGAACATACTATTAATAATTATCAATAGTACTAACTGCTAACAAACAATAATTATGCAAACTACACTGACTATACTATTAATAACTATTAATAGTACTAACTGCTAACAAATGATAACTATGAATAAACTATTAATAACTATCAATATTATTAACTTTACTAACAAGAACTGTATAACTATGCTGACTATACTTTTAATGACTCAATTAATATTACTGTGAACAATAACTATGAAAACTACACTGACTTAATGTACAATAACTATCAATATTACTAACAGTGCTAAGAATAACTATGCTAACTACCCTGAATAAAAATACTATTAATACTCTATCAATATTACTAACTGTACTCAAAAACAATAACTATGGTAACTAAACTGACTAAATACACTATTAATACTCTATCAATATTATTAACTGTCCTAACAAACAACTATGCTAACTATGCTGATAAAATACTATTAATACTCTATCAGTATTACTAACTGTGCTAACAAACAGTAACTAAACTAACTAAATATACTATTAATAACTATCAATATTATTAACTGTCCTAATAACAACTATGTAACTATACTGATAAAATACTATTCATCACTCTATCAGTATTACGGTGCTGACAGTAACTATGCTAACTATGCTAAGTACACTAAGTGTACTAACAATACTAACTAAAAATACTCACTAAAAAATTTAAAGAAAAAAATGAGAAAAAATAATGAAAAAGAAAAAATGAGAAAATAAAATTTGAGAAAATTAAAATAAAAGAATGAGGAAAAAAGAAGAAAAGAAAAATGGGAAAAGTGAGCAAAGAAAAATAAGCAAAAGTAAAATAATAAAAAAGAAAAAATATGAGAAGAAGAAAGCAAGAGTGAAGGGAAAAACTAAAATGGGGGGAAAAAAGGAGAAAACAAGCTAGGTAGTCCAAGTCCAACAGGTCACCACAAATCAGCTTCCTGGCTATTAACAGACTAAAAGCTCAGCCCGGCCAGAGCTTTCTATAGCAGTTCTTGTTATTACATCACAGTGGTGCTTTGTGAGCTCAGAGCAGAAACTGACCAACCATAGCTAAGGATAAAGTGCAGTGCTTTTCTCCCCAGTTCTCTGGTTTGAACACCCTTTTACTCTGAACGGTTCCCCAAAGAGCTTTTTGTTTATGTGGGATATTAAAGACTGATAGTTACTTTAGTAGAATTTATAGTCTGTAGGATGCTTAAAAAAAAAAAAAAGACGTGTATTAGCATAGAATGTTTTTCCAGAGGTGGACATTGTTGCATTTTGCAACACTGACAGGATAAGCCCCTAAGCCCCTAAGACAGGATATGTTTTCACTCCCTCAGTCAAGAAATGGTGCTGCCCTCTGAGAAGCCCTATTTGTGTGTATAATAAACTAAATTTTATGTAAAATGTTCATTTAAAAGGTATCTACAAGCAAGTGTTCTCGAAATTACTTTCTGAAGTGACAGTGCTTGAGCGGGCGCGGGTCCAGGCGCTCACTGGATTCAGTGCTCAGCAGCTGCTGCTCTGCCCGTCCACGAACACCTGACCCTCCGCCGCAGGGCGGAGCTTCCTCGCGGAGAGGGGCCGCTTCCTGTGCCGCAGCGGCCGCAGCCGCCCAGTCCCTGGACTCGTCCTCCCTCCCAGGCCCGGGCATGAACTCCAGGGGTCAGCGTGGTCTGGACCACAAGCCCGTCCCTCTGGCTCACGCACAGCGTTTCCCCCTCAGGGCTGACAGGGAGCAGAAGTGGCCATGTGGCCACAAGCGTCACCGGGGTGCTGCTCAGCCTGGTGGGCCTGGCGGCTGTGGCACTGCTGTTCTATTGGTGGCTCCCGGGAAGAGCAGGTGGGTGACCCCGGCTGACCTTTGCTGACCCTTCCCACCTCCGTTTCCTGGGGCTCATGCTGCCTTGGTAACCACCCCTGAGCTCTCAACAGCTCCCCCCATAATCCTACAGCCCCCCACCTTCCCCTCTGGGTCCCCCAGGGTTTGTCTTTACCAAACAGCCCCATTGGGTGGAAGACCCCTGGATATGATGTGCTTGACACAACATCGTAAGCTTCAGTGTCTGCCCACCTGCCCTTACAGGACCCTCAGGAGTGGGAAGAGGGGAAGAAAGGCTGAGAAGCAGGGGTGGAAACAGGACGCAGATGGTGTTGATAACCTACTGACTTATTAAGGTGTCTTCACAGCTGATGGAGTCTGTTTTTCTCCTGGCTGCCATGGGCCATTATTCTTTACAGACTCCAGGCTAAAGGGTCATGGATGGGGGGCCCCTTTCACAATGTAACGACACCCCTCAGGAAGCCAGGGTCGGTCATTGTGGCCCAATCTGCCGCGTCCCACGGGCAGAGCTAAGAAGGGCTCCACAGAGGCTCCTGTAACGCCCTCTGCTCGGTCTTGCAGGAGGGAGGCCTGCCTGTGATGCCTCCAGGTAAGACCTGGGCTGTGTGCCTGCGGGGTTCACGAGAGGCCTGCGGGGTAGAGAGAGGGAATTAAGCTGAGAGCACAGTCACGGCTGCGTGTTGTGAGATGGGTTGTTCCCGGTCCACGTGGTCACCTCCTGGGGGACAGCACAAGGCAGTTCCCAGGACCTTCTCACCTGCCACCTCCCCTAAGATTCCTTCTTGAGTGAGGTGCTAACTGCTCTTCATGTGTAACTGCCATCCTATCCTTGTGCCATCGTTTCCTTGCTTGTCTGAGTGCCCGCTGTAACCGCCGACCCCACCCATGTCCTGAGATGGCCTTCACCTTAGCTGGATCAGCCTGGAAAGCTCTGGCCGTGGCCAACCTAAGCGATATCTGTTGTGACGACAGCTGAGAAGGTGCAGTCACACAGCGGGGCCACCAGAGAGAGGTCTCTGCCAGGGTGGCGCCTGTGAGGGGCTGCCATGCTGGCTCACCTGGGCTCACCAACTACCCCCGGGGAGGCCTGAGTAGCAGCACGCAAACCTGAGTCCCCCTGAGCCTTTCCAATTTCTAGTCTCTCTGAGACGCTGACTGCGTTGAGAGTGGAGGCTTTGGTTCCAGGTTTGAAGCTTGACTTTCTACTTATACATTCATGAGCAAGTCCCTTCGCCTCTTGGAACCTCCATTTCTTCATCTACAAAATAGGGAGCATAATAGAATCAACTGAATATTGATATAAGCACTAGTACAGTGCCTGGTACACACAGAGCGACCACGAGGTCTGCAAACACAGATGGTATCAATGTGCCGTTCCTAGTAATAGAATCGTTCTTAACAATAGACCATTTTTTATGTGCTCATCTACGTGTCCGGGTTTGGCCGTCACCCTCTGGTAAAAACTCAGTAACGGGGAACTCGTTATAGCTCCTTTGTCAGGATTCCTGAGGAACGTCAGTGTTTCTGTCTCGTAGGAGCCCTTCTGGCTCGGACCCCCAAGAGCCCACCTACTCCAACATGCCAGCCTGCCTAGAAATGCAGCCAGTGTACAGCAATGGTAGGACCCACCTGCTTTTTCTGTTTTGTTGTTGGTCCCTCATCAAGGTCCGTCTTTCTCTTGGACATCTGGTTGACCCGTTGTGCCTCCTAATTTAACAACTTCTACTTCAACTAGCCAGCCTGTCTTCCCCTCCTCCTATGCCCTTCTGGCCAACCCCGCCCACTCAGCAGAGGCCTGGCTCCTGGGAATAGCTATTGTTGACTGAAGAATCAGTAAATATCCAGCATCGTGCATAAATCACCTTCTGTAATTCTCCCAATAAGCTTATTCCAGAAGTATACGTTACTGTCCCTTTTACAGGTGAAGAAACTGAGGCTTAGAGAGACAACATAAGGTGGTTGACGAAGGACTAGCATAGACTGTCCTGTGTCTCTTGGATCAATACAGTTGGTGAGATGACAATTTGGACAGGAAATATTAAACATAGACGGACCCTTACTAATCTGTATCCCTCCAACCAGGATGACACTGGGGGCTTGGACACAGGCCGTCACGGCGTACTGCTTTCCATCCTGGCCCCAGGGTGTTTGGGAGTTAAGGTGAGTTATATAATCTGAGGCTGCCCATAGCCTCCAGATGTCTCTCTGGATAATGGGTATGTTTGTGGTCAGTACAGGAGCCACAAACCCTTCTGGTTTGGGGAGCTGTGCCCCTGTAGTATAATCAATCAAAGACACTGAGGTGGGAGTCTGGTAACGGACAGCTTGTGGCTATTGGATAGGCACAGTCCCTCCATTTGATATGACCGTCATTGTTGGGGGAAGGGCTTTGGGTGCACAGAGGGAGCTTCTTGGGGCTGACCTCCTGACGGTCCTGTAAAAGTTAACTGTGATCTGTGTTTTAGGTATGGATTCTGTCTATCTTTCCCTGAACCTGTTTTTGTTATGTTTTCCAAATGGAGGCATCCCGTCATGGGTGTTTGGGAGGCACAAAGTGGAGGAAGCCGGGACAGAACAACATAATTAAAGGCTGTCTGTTGAAGGGTTATGTTTTTTGTCCTGCCTCCAAGTGGGATGGAAGAATTAATCCAAACTAGGACTTGCTTGTCTTCCCACATTACGGGAGCAAGCGCTGGGGGGTTTGGGAAGTACGTCCAATACGTGTCCCCCCGTGTTATACTTACCTGCCATGTCAGAATAACCAGTATTGTAATTAGGAACTTATTAACCTGTTTCCAGGTCTCGGCCGATCTCTTCCTCGCCCTCCTGGACTGTTTGCTGTCTGGTTTCTCCATGGTGCTGTTTGACTAGGCGTTCTGGAAGCCACTGAGGACCATCTGCTGTCCTAGGAAAACCACAAACATGTCCTCTCCCCCACACCAGGACCGGATCCGGTCCATGCCAACTACCCATGAGGGGGTCTTTCCAGCGGACGAGAGCCTCCGCAGCAGGACTGGGATTCCAGATACGATCTGCTGCAGAGTGACCTTGAGCATCCGTTTGTAAAAAATTTAAAGTGAAAGTTCATGGTTTAGTTGGTTGTATACTGAATTCCCATAGTCTCCCCATATTTGTTTTATTAACTGATTTTTGAGTGAACAATGAGCACACTCAATAATTCCCTGACCCTGTGGGTTAAATGGGATACCTGTGAGGTGTTGGATCTAAAAAGTTAAGCAAAAATTTTGAAAGGCCTTGCTAGTATAGCCAGGTCCATTGTCAGTCTTTATGACCTTTGGGGTGCCCGTAGTGGCGAATACCTGGAAACAGTGACTGATGATATGTATTGTTGCTATCGCAAATAAGAAACCAGACTTAGTGTCGATAGTTGTATGGTCATAAGGGGTATTTTTAAAACTAGGAATGTGAGTAACATCCATCTGCCAGATGTGATTTGGAAGTAGTCCTCGGGGGTTAACTCCTAAATGTGGTTCAGGAAGCAAAGTTGCACAGCCGGCACACTGTTTAACTATCTGTCTAGCCTGTTCTCGGGTGATCTTATACTGATGCCTTAGTGACCGAGCATTTTGGTGAAGAGCATGAGACTGCATGGCCTTTTCCATAGGGCTTGTAGGTGTGGCGAAAAAAGCCTGGACTGAAAGACCTAGCGGTTGAGTAGCTGCCTCTGCAGCAGCATTGCCTGCAGACAAAGGTCCTAGAAGATCAGAATGAGCTCTAATATGACCAATATACAGTGGCTGTTGTCTAGCAAGAATGGTCTGTTTTAGTTGATGGAACATAGGAAACAGCTCCTCAGTGGTGGCTGAGCTAACATGAACTGTCTCTATAATCTTACAGACACCAAAGACATAATGACTATCTGTGTAGAGGTTTAGTGGCTGGTGTGAAAACATATGTAAAGCCCAGATAACTGCGGATAGCTCCACCCGTTGAGCTGAGCTATACCCTGTGACCTCAGTTAAGGTCTGAGTGGGGGTATCGGCGGCTGCCCTGCCATTGCGGGAGCCATCTGTGAAAACTGTAACTGCTCCTGGAATGGGCTGAGTTTGTAACACTGAGGGAAAAATGAACTACGTAGACCTTGCAAACTGTAAGAGTTTATTAGCAGAATAATGACATCCAAGCTGACCAGGAAAATTTGTCAAAGTTATTTGCCACTCCGTGGAGTTTGCATATAACCAAGATTGCTGACTACCGTTAAAAGGAACTACAATGGCCTGAGGCTGTTTTCCAAAGAGCTGGAGACATCTTCATCTCCCCTTAGTAATAAGTAAAGCTGCTAACTCATAATATGCCTGAGGAGGTTTAGAAGGAGTGCTCTTTTTTTTTTTTTTAAGATTTTTATTGGGGAATTGGGGATGGGAACAGCGCTGGAGAATTGGGAGAAGGGGAACAGAGAAGTTGCTGTCCTTTTGTTCTTCAGTCTAGTTGTGGAGGACGTTGCTTCACTGGCCCAAGTTGGCACCATCATTGCGCTCTTCCCGGACGAGGCAGATCAGTCGCCGGCTTCTGGATGGCCGCTCACGCTGGCTGCTGGCATCACAAGGTAGCCCATGGCAACCCACTGCAGCAGGAGCTGCAGCCTACGCCGCTGTTGCCGGCGACTCACGGCAGCCCAGCTCCAGGTTGAGCTGTTGTTCAGCATCTTAGCTGTGGAGGGCAGTGTCACTGGCCCTCATATGTGGGATCCGAACCAGGGCCCTCTGGCATCCCAAGTCAGTTCTTAACCATCGCGCCACTCGGCCGGCCCAGGAGTGCTCTTTAAATGTAGCCACTCTAACAGGCTTTACCTGAGGATTTTTACTAGGACACTCCCTAGAGAAATGGCCTGCCTGCTCACAAGAATAGCATACTCCCTCCTTACGATTCCTCTCCCTCTTTTGTTGCAGCTTTGGGTTGAAACCTTCTGTAGTGCCATGGCAAGAGCATTGCCCTGGATATAAGACGGCCCTACATCTGCACAAAGGCGGATAAAATCTGAAACATTAGTTTTTTTCTATAAGGTTGCACTAGAGATTCACAGGTAGAATTGGCATTCTCAAATGCTAGCTGTTTGGCAAGAAGCTGTGCGGCTCCTGGGTCATTAATGAGCCGCCCTATGGCTTGTAGGACCGAGAGACGAAGTCCTGATACGGCTCGTCTGGACCCTGTCTTCCATTAGACAGATCCTCTGTCTTTGCCCCTGCAGTGGGAGATGCCCTCCAGGCCCTAGTAGCACAGAAATTAATCTGTTGATAGGCTATCGGAGGATATCCCATTTGATTATGAGTGCCTGCATAATTCCCTTCTCCCTTAAGCATCTCAGCTGTAACAGGTATCTGGTGTGCGGCATTTCGCTCTGCCTGCTGTTCGCACTGGTCAACGAACTCCGTTTTCCAGAGCAAATAATCCCCTCCAGTTAGAGAAGCCTTAGTTATCATTATCCAATCTTTTGGAGTAAGAGGTGTGTTTGCTGAAACCGTCTCAAGCAACGGTAAAGTAAAAGGAGCAGTAGGTCCATACTGGGTGGTTGAGGCCTTGAGTTCCTTAAGCGTCTTAAAAGGAATGGGCTCATGCTCCCTGAGCACCTGCCTCAGATTATTGGGGTCCGGATGTGCTATCACCGGAAAGCAAAATTGCTGATACTCCCCAATATCCTCGCCTCTCTCCACAGCCTGCCTTAACCCCTGGAGTACGCTCGACTCCAAGATCTTGCTCTTAGAGCCTGAGACATATTTGACAAGCTGCCACGAAGCACACTGCTGCTGCCTTGCAATTGGCAGCAGTGACAATGGAGGCGGGTCCCAGGGGGCGGGACGTCCCCCCCGCAGGGAACAATATGCAGTCCAGTGAGCAAGGGCTGACCCCTCCTCCTCAGGGACCTCATCCTCCTCCTCCTCAAAAGAATCCTCTGACTCGGTATTATGCCTCTGTTCTTCTCTGACTACTACCTGCATCTCTTGAGATCTGGCCTCTTCAAACTCCTGAACTAAGTCTTTCCACTATAGGCTGAGACTGTGTTTCCAGAGGACAGGAAGCCTCTGGATTGGGATTGAGGCATCGCGCACCAACTCCCAAAGTGAAAGTGTGTCGCTGGGAGACTTCCCAGGCCTATTGAGCGCCTGACGCTCTTGGAGCTGTGCACCAACCTTTCCCCAGATTTCAGAATCAAGAGTTCCCTCCTCTGGAAACCAAGGACAGGCATCCTTTACATAAGCAAGAAAATTTTCTAACTGATGAGCTTTAACAGGGCTGCCACGAGCCCGCAGCATAGATCTAAGCCATTGCAGATAAAGTTGATGGTCCCTTGACCCTGACTGTCCCATCCTTATGTCTATATTGTCTGCTGACCCTATTTACAAGTAGGCTGATGACCTTTTGTGTACAATGGACTGTTTGTCCTGACTGTCCCAATGTTTTACTCCTGCCTGAAATTAGATATAGGGATACCAGAGTGGCCAATTCTGCTCCTCCCTATATCATACCCCGATTTTTGCCCCTACCTTCTCCGAAGCAAAGCGGCGCGCGCCTTCCCGTAGGGGGTCTCCTCACTTACTGCTTCCTTCAATCCGTGCTCAGATCCCTGTTTGGGCGCCACTTTTGATGTGAACCGCACATCAAACGAGCACTCCCAACTCGTCAGCCAGGAGCCTACCGAGAGGGTACCTGAGAGGATTGGGTGGGAGACTGGAAAAGAAAGAGACGAGAGACAAAAGCTGGGAACAGGAGGTCCACCCAATGCTGATAGCAGAGAGTGGCCCCGTTTATTGTTTACACGCAGCTTTTATAGCAAAAGTAACTTTCCTTAGGTAGGGGGGTTTGGGGAACTTGAGGGAATAATCCCCTCCTCCCAGGGAACACCTCCCTGGAGGCTTTCCATAAGGTGTGTGGAAGCAATCTTCCCAGGGTTAAAGCAAAACATAACAAGCAGAAACTGTTAACAGGATGTCCTTCCACTCTGTAGCTTTCAAGGCCGTTGACTGTTTTCTCCTGAGCGGCCAACCTTCCCACGCTGCTCACCTGGGCCTGAGAGACTGTCAACCTGCCAGCCTTCAGGCTTAATCCTCACTGCAGACCTCCGGCTCTCAGGCTTAACCCAACAGGGGCCCAGTGTCACAGGGTGGGGTGCTGGGTGACACCTTGCCCATGCAGTCGCCTTGGGGCTCAACGGCAGCAGGTGGTGACTGGCCAGAAAGGGAAGTCCCTCTCAGTACCCAGGCACAGGTGTGTTCAGTAAATATTTGCTGAGTAGAAACCAGTACCAGCTGCCACATGTAATTAAGGTGAAATGGCTTGTCTTGTGGGAGAGCGTGTGTGAGACCCCAGCATCCTCACAGGCAGCGCTAGGACTAAGGTGAGACCACAGGACGCCCACTGCCAGGTGACAACCCTGTAGTTGCAGCAGCCTGAGGGTGGGCTGTCCCTCCCTGTCTGGCCCCTTCAGGGCTTCTCACAGGGACCCACAGAGCCCCCCCTCTTCCCTGTGGTGGGGGAGGTGGAGGTGAGGCCTGAGCTGGGGTGAGTAGAGGTTGTGCTGGTGAGAATGCTGAGAACCCGGCCAGCAGCCAGCAGCTGAGAGGGGCCTTGTGGTGAGGAAGTCCCACACAAAGTCTGATGTCACCAGCAAATGACACCAGCAAAAGGACCCTGCCCAGAGCTGGGCACAGGCCGGGGGTGGGAGCAGGGTCCCCCAGTGGGGCTTCTCCAGGATTCAAGGGGACTGTGCTTGGCATGACTGACTGGACGGTGGTGGAAGCCAGACTGTGCCCCCAGGAGCATGTGCACTGCCCCAGGGTCAGGGCAGGGGCACCAGCCTGCAGCTTGGACTGGGAGGGTCCCGGTGCAGCTGGGAGGCCAGCTGAGGCTTGTCAGGCCACCAGCCTCTGCAGGTCTGGCCATTTGGGATGCGCTGAGCACTGGAGGAGGCGGCTGTGGTTGGACAAGAGTGGCCTTGGGGACTCTGCGGGCTGAGGGGGCTGAGCTGCAGCCACAGACAGGCCTTGGTTGCTCTGCGTGGGCTGTGAGAGGGAGGCGAGAGGCCGCTCTGGGACAGGCCTGCCCCCGCCCCTCAATGTGGCTTCTCAAGGCCCAGAC